AATGGAGCCATAACAGCCTCTTCAACAAATGGTGTTGGGAGAGCTGGACGGCTACATGCAAAAAATTGAAATTGGATCATCAGCTGACACCATACACAAAAATAAACTCAAGATGGATAAAAGACTTAAATATAAGTCGCAACACCATCAAAGTCCTCGAGGAGAACATTGGCAGGAAACTCTCAGATATCCCATGCAGCAGTTTTTTCACTGATATGTCTCTTAAAGCAAGGGACATAAAGGAAAGAATAAACAAGTGGGACCTCATCAAAATAAGAAGCTTCTGCACGGCTAAAGAAAACATCAGCAAAATGAAAAGGGAGCCAACCGTATGGGAAAATATATTTGCTAATGATACATCAGATAGAGGTTTGATCTCCAAGATATATAAAGAACTCACTCGACTCCACTCCAAGAAGACAAACGATCCAATCAAAAAATGGGCAAAGGACCTGGGCAGATGCTTTTCTAAGGAGGAGATACAGAGGACCCAGAGGCATTTGAAAGGATGCTCAGCATCACTAGCCATCAGAGAAATGCAGATCAAAAGCACCATGAGGTACCACCTCACACCGGTCAGAATGGCCATCATAAACAGATCCACAAACAACAGGTGCTGGCGAGGCTGTGGAGAAAAGGGAACCCTAGTCCACTGTTGGTGGGAATGCAGACTGGTGCAGCCACTGTGAAAAGCAGTGTGGAATTTCCTCAGAAAGCTGAAAATGGAACTGCCTTTTGATCCAGCGATTCCCCTGCTGGGACTATACCCTGAGAACACCAAAACGCCAATACAAAAGAACCTATGCACCCCAATGTTCATAGCAGCACAATTTACAATAGCCAAGTGTTGGAAGCAACCTAAATGCCCATCAGTAGATGATTGGATCAAAAAATTATGGTACATATACACAATGAAATACTACGCAGCAGAAAGAAAAAAAGAAGTACTAAACTTTGCGACAGCATGGATGGAACTGGAGAGCATCATGCTAAGCGAAATAAGCCAGGGGGCGAAAGACAAATACCATATGATCTCACCTATAAGCGGAACCTAACCAACAATGCAAAGAAGCAAGGAAAATATGACCAGCAACACTGAAAGGAAAAGAAATCAATAGAGACAAGAGGGAAGGGGGGGGGCAGGGAAAGGGAAGGGAAGGGGAAAGTCAAGGGACATATAGCAAGGACTCATGGACAAAACCAAAGGGGAAGAGCTGAGGGAGGGAAGGTGGGAGGGGGCAAGGGAAAGAGGTGGGGGGGAGGCAGAGACAAATGTATTTTAAAAGTAAATAAATTTAAAAAAAAAAGAACTCAAAATAGCAGGGTCATTATGTCATTTACTTTCCACAGTGCCACTCGTGACAATGAGAGAGGACACCATTAGATGCCTGAATAGTAGGTCAACTTTATAAATCTTGTTGAATAAATAAAGAAAAAACAAAAATACATAGTCAAAGCAGATCTCTGAAGGGTTTGTCAGATACCAGGATTAAGGAATATGTTTAAAAAGGTATTATTATCTGACAATTTAGGAGATTAAGACATCTAAGGCCAAGAAAGGATTCCCAAGAAGTTATCCTACTAGCACATTAGAAATTAGCTAGAAGTGATTTATAACTAGTGCCTTACCTATGGGCCAATGGATACTGGGTGTCCACCCTGTGGCCTGTGGGCGTCATGCAGTCCAGAATGGCAATGAATGTGGTCCAACACAAAATCATAAATTTACTTAAAACATTATGAGTTTTTTTGTGATTACATGTCTCAATGTATTTAATGTGTAGCCCAAGACAACTCTTCTCCCAGTGTGGTGCAGAGATGCCAAATTTGGACGCCGCTTTTTAAATTTTAGATAATTTCTAAGTGTTATATACAATTTAATTTCTTGAAGTTGTTAACATTGCTTCCCTAGTTCCACTGTGCCTTAGTTTACACAATGACTTTCCCTAAGAAAAATCTTTGTTTTATTGTTTATTTTTGTTTATTAATCTAAGGATTAGAAAAGGTGAATTTAAGTTCAAACTAATTGCCTAGAATTTTCCAATAGTGGGATCCCAATTTGGAAGGATTTTTTATTTACTAGTAGACAAGCAAGGTCTGATGGGTCCACATCACTAATAGAACTGTTTGAAAAATTAAAGTGATAATTTAATATTAAACTTACAACTTGGGGTCTAATTTTTAAAGTGCTTTGTTAGCATAACATGGTGATTTGTCATATTTCACTGACTTAGCAGTGCCAGAATTAGGACTTTCAGGAAAATAATAACAAACATTTTCTGTTTCCTTGCACCAAACAGATTCTTAGATAATGATACCTCAGACTGATGTATTTATTTAAGGGGAGAGGGAAACAGCCACTGGCAGGGGCTGGCTGCCTTTGGGCTTATGATCCAGTCTGCAAATTCTTCCTCTTTCAGCTTTCCCCTACGGTCCAGAGCCACCTGTGCAATGGCAAATATTAATAGAAATTTCTCCAGTGTGCCAGTTACTGTGTTTTATGGGAACTGGGGGAAGTCACCCATGAAGAAACCAGTGTGTTTGGCCTCTTAGACAAACAACTGTTAACATTTAATTCATGCATGATAAAAGTAGTAAGAGGCAGTAGTATGGGTGATGGTGAGGTGTTCTCCCTAGGGAAAGGTGCCAAGGTGCAAGGAAGAATACACTCAAGGGTTTGACTGAAATGTTGGAGCTCAAAACCAATTGGGCAGTGGAGGATGATAGGGATAGAGAGGCAGGCATGAGTGAGATCACGTAGGTCCCTGTGGACCATGATGATACTACAGGACTTCGCCATTTCTCTACTTCTCCATTCTACCTTTTACCACTCTGGAGTCACACATACCAGCAGAGGCCCATGCCAACAAGACTGTAATGTTTATGGCCACAAAATAACCAGGGTGGGTCAGCATTGGACAAAAGAGGAACCAGTCATTCTTATAAAAGATATCACCAATGTGGATAATACCTCTCACTTGTATGAGCATATAGTGAACTCATCAACATACAAATTATCTAGTTACCTATTTGTTTACTGTCTATTTTCTCTCATCTAGAGTGTAAGCTCCATGAGAAAAAGTAAACTGTCTTATTCCTCTATTGCTGCAACCCTAGCACACTGAACTACAACTGGTACATAGGTATTTCCTTAATGGTTAAATGAATTGATGGATGACTCTGAAGTCAAAAGGAAAATGACTGTTTTGATTTGCATTTTAAAAATTTCACTTAGGCTATGAATGTAGCATGTGGATTTTTAGTGAGGTAACAGGGTAAGATATGAGAGTGGGAGATGAGAGTGACTGAGTTAATGGAATAATCTTTAAAAGATCCCAGAGAGTTTCTGGCAACCCTTTCCACTATTTGGTGGTTAGGAAGATGACTGGGAATTAACACATACTAAATTAACATATTCTAGGTACCTTCATATACTTCGCATCATTTAACTCTCAAACCCAAAACAATGCCTCTAACATATACATGAACTCCATTTTATAGATGAAGAAGCTGGGACTCAGGAAACTTAAGTAACTGGCTTACACAGCTGCAATATGAACCTAAACTACCCAACTTTAAAGTGGGTGCCCAACTGGAAATTATGTCATGCTGTCTATCAGAAAATTTGAGGAACTATAGGTCAATCACTGAGATCTTGGCCCTAAAACTTACATTTGGTTTTCTGAGGTTCTTTGCAGCTCTAAATTGTGCAAGGAATGGTATGTTTTTATTAGATATTGTAATTCTTACATTTTCATTTTGAGTAATGCTCTTTGCAGAAATAGTTTTCAGTTTCCTTAGTCACATTTTCCTAATTCATATTCTGGCTACTATTTTTAGCTCTGCCCTTTAGGGGATCTTCAGCTGAGTTCATGGATGAGCCCCTTTTCCATACTAAGGTATCCTGCCTTAGTTTTTCAGATGATCCCAACTAAGACAGAATTATCAATGATCCCAGCACATTCATTTGTAGTAGCTCAGAAATGAGCTCATTTTCTAGTGTACACTAGAAAGTCCAGTCACAAGGACTTTCAGACACCCACTTTCAAATACGTTTGACTACTGGTCCTAAAACTTACTTTATGCATCCCCTTCTTCTACTCCAATTCCTTGATTCCTCCAGCTTGCAGTTCACATTCCCTTCTTCCCTGCTTAGTGCCTCATTGTATAACAGGATTTCTCTCTAGGTCCCTAGTCCAAATTTCTGACATTTGCTTGTGATAAATTATACCTCTATTTCAGGACTAGAGTTCTATCCTAAACCACAATCTGTGTGTGCCTGTTATACTCTTGTTGCACTCTCTTGCATGGTCAAATGTTTTGGTTCCTGCTTTAGCCTGATGGCTGAAGTGCTATCTGTGATTTCATTGGTATGGCTTTTCAGTATTGATTGCCTTGACTGGACTGAATTTTGCCTAGTAGAATATAGATGGGAGAGATGTGTGCTACTTCCAACCTGGTCCATAGAAACCTCCACAGAACCAGCTGGGTATAACCCTCCAGAAAATCTTGGTTATTTTGAAGTGGTAGAGCCTTTAACAACCAGTATCTTTGATTGGTTTCCAAGGCATAAACTACTCTACCTTTCTTGTGAGTGAAAAATTAGTCTCTGGTCTGTGGTGTTAAGCTACTTTGATTTGGGCATTTACCTGACACAGAAGCCAGAGATACTTAATAAATAAAACATACTTCTCCCAAAAATAGCAGAGGCTCACATTTTTATAATTGGTTGAAATTATGATCTTTTGAATAAATACTGTCTCAGAAGGCCAGCACCTCCTCGGGTGGTGACCACTGTTCCCAAGTCAGTTCTTCAACCTCTGCCTCATTGTAAAGGATTGATATGAGGCTAGTTCACTCTCACTCTCTTCTCCTCTGTGTCAGCCTCATTCTGTTGTTCATCTGGCCAAAATGCCTACGCACATTTGTCAGCTACAGCATTTTGAAAGATATTTAGAATTAAATTATTTAATGGTAAGGAACATAAGGAATCCAAATACCTCCATGGCCACAACTCTGTGAACATTCTGTCCAAGCTGTCCACCCTGAGAGCTGACAGTTGACAACACACTCTACTAGGCAGTGAGAGCTCATCCTCTGGGGCTTCTCCAAGTTATGCTGCAGATGGAAGTAAAATACGATTTTACCAGAGAAGTCATATCAACATCAAATCAAAACATTATCCTCTTATGCCAAAGATTCCCCTTTATTCTATGACAATAATCTTTCTACATTTTCGTGGGGGGAAATACCTTTTCTTATATAAATTGCTGAAAACCACAGAAAATAGTTGTCTTTACTTCACAAAATCAAAATTTGCCAGCCAAAATTTCTTTTTTAAAAACATTAGAATAGGCCCACAGTGATGGTACTGGGAAAATAGGCGGTTATATGAAAAAGAGTTCTGTCCTGTCTGTCACTCAGCCAGCAGGAAACTGGGAGGAGACCTCAGTGCTGAATTCAAGTACCTTGCACTTCTGGGTGGGACAATAGTACATAGAGAGCTCAAAACTAACAACTAGCTAGCTGAAATATAAATAAAATAAGAATAAAAGTGAAATCAATAACCAACCTAAAGTTTATTTAAAAAGAACAATTATGCTAAAAACATAATCTCAAGCTTCATCATGGGAAAAGCTGGTGATACAGTTCATTTTCCTCTTGTTCTTTCTGAAATCTGTATCTAGACAAAATCTACAAATTTTCTAATGACCAAGGTAGAAGAGGTCTTAGTAAAAGAATAAATTATCTAAGAAACACAGAAACAATAATGAAAAATTCTGCTTTAGGAATCTCACACTGTGTGCTTATTTAGGAAACCTATGACAGTCAACACATGTTAAATGTTAAAAATGTCCATAGCAAACTTAAATTAAGGATTATAGTATAATTACTTGACAAGTGGACAAAATGGGAATTACGATGTGGGATCTATTAATCATATAAAATATATGGATGTTTGAGTTAGGTTAATAATTTAGGACTACTTTAAACTAACATTTTAAAAAAACATTTGTTGGATCTGTGCTGTTTACAAAGCAGAGAAACTGATTTTTGTGTTAATGAAAATTTTATATATTTTTGGTATCAAAAGAAAACATTTATTAGACATAATAAATGTAAGGTTTTTCAATTTTTTAGAGTTGTTGTGTTGACTTATTTTTCTTGTAGCAGGCAACTTCTTTCTTGAGAGGCAGATAAAATGAAATAAAATGTTAATATTAATCACTGACTTTTCGTTGACAGAACTCTGCCATGTACTGGCCAGTTTAAGAATTTCACCAAATGGGATATCCAGTTTCAGATGGTCTAGCCTTAGAGTTGGTGTTGATCTGTAGCTATACTTTTGCTTTAGAGAGCATGCTGTTGTGAAACTGCTTACCATGGTTAAATCAGGAGAGATAAGAAAGGTTTTATTTTGATTTCAATTTCTACTTGTGGACTCCACCTATGTTAGGAGAAATGGGACAACTTTTATTTTGCCTATTTGTTTTTAAAAAAGTTTCTATGATGATCTGATTTAACTGGCCCCATATTTTCAATTTATTCCAAAGATTGTTTAGTGATTCTTATACTGTGACAACATATGGTCATATTTATTTCTATTAAATTTCCATAGTCAAGATTAGAGCAGAACTGAATGACATAGAGACAAAAAGAACAATTCAGAGGATCAACCAATCCAGAAGCTGGTTCTTTGAAAAGATAAATAAAATTGACAAGCCTTTAAGCAGACTCATCAAGACAAAAAGGGAGAGGACCCAAATTAATAATATCAGAAACAAAAGAGGAGAAATAACAACAGATACCACAGAAATACAAATGATCATCAGAAACTATTATGAACAATTATATGCAAAGAAATTTGAAAATCTTGATGAAAAGGACAAATTTTTAGAAAAGTATAATCTTCCAACACTGAAGGAGGAAGAAACAGAAAGCTTGAACAGACCGATAACAGCTGGGGAAATTGAAGCTGTAATCAAGAAACTCCCAGCACACAAAAGCCCAGGGCCAGACGGTTTCCCAGGAGAATTTTACAAAACATTGAAGGAAGAGCTAACCCCTGTCCTTCTCAGACTATTCCAAAAAATCCAAGAGGAGGGAAGACTCCCAGACTCCTTCTATGAGGCCAGCAGCACCCTGATCCCAAAACCAGATAAAGACACTACGAACAAAGAAACCTCAGGCCAATTTTGCTGATGAACATAGATGCTAAAATCCTCAACAAAATATTGGCAAACTGCATCCAGCAATACATTCAAAAGATTATCCACCACGATCAAGTGGGATTCATCCCAGGGATGCAGGGATGGTTCAATATACGCATAATCAGTAAACGTGATACACCACATAAATCAAAGAAAAGACAAAAACCACATGATCACCTCGATAGATGCAGAAAAAGCATTTGACAAGGTACAGCATCCATTTATGATCAAAACACTCAGCAAAATGGGAATAAATGGGGCATTCCTCAACGTAATAAAGGCCATATATGAAAAACCTACAGCTAATATCATACTCAACGGGCAAAAACTGAAAGCTTTCCCACTAAGATCGGGAACACGACAAGGATGTCCGCTCTCACCGCTTCTTTTCAACATCGTATTGGAAGTCCTAACCACAGCGGTCAGACCAGAGAGAGATAAAAGGCATCCAAATAGGAAAGGAGGAAGTAAAACTATCATTGTTTGCAGATGACATGACAGTGTACATAGAGAACCCTGTAGACTCTACCAAAAAACTCCTCAACCTAATAAGTGAATTTGGCAAAACAGCAGGATACAAAGTCAACATTCAGAAGTCAAAGGCGTTTTTGTACACCAGCAATGCAATAGAAGAAGAAGAAATCAGAAAAAATATACCATTCGATATAGCACGAAAAAAGATAAAGTACCTAGGGATAAATTTAACCAAAGACACGAAAGATCTGTATGCAGAAAACTATACAACATTGAAAAAAGAAATTAAGGAAGACACATATAAATGGAAGCATATACCGTGCTCATGGATTGGAAGAATTAATATCCTCAAAATGTCCATACTACCCAAAGCAATTTATAGATTCAACGCAATCCCTATTAAGATACCAATGACGTATTTCACAGAAATAGAACAGACATTTCAAAAATTTATATGGAACCATAAACGACCCCGAATAGCCGCAGCAATTTTGAGAAAAACACAAAGTAGGAGGGATCACAATACCGGACATCAAACTCTACTACAAAGCCACCATACTCAAAACAATCTGGTACTGGCACAAGAACAGACCCATAGACCAGTGGAACAGAATAGAAAGCCCAGAAATAAGCCCAGGTCTCTATGGACATCTAATATTCGACAAAGGGGGCAGAAGCATAAAATGGAGCCATAACAGCCTCTTCAACAAATGGTGTTGGGAGAGCTGGACAGCTACATGCAAAAAATTGGAATTGGATCATCAGCTGACACCATACACAAAAATAAACTCAAGATGGATAAAAGACTTAAATATAAGTCGCAACACCATCAAAGTCCTCGAGGAGAACATTGGCAGGAAACTCTCAGATATCCCATGCAGCAGTTTTTTCACTGATATGTCTCTTAAAGCAAGGGACATAAAGGAAAGAATAAACAAGTGGGACCTCATCAAAATAAGAAGCTTCTGCACGGCAAAAGAAAACATCAGCAAAATGAAAAGGGAGCCAACCGTATGGGAAAATATATTTGCTAATGATACATCAGATAGAGGTTTGATCTCCAAGATATATAAAGAACTCACTCGACTCCACTCCAAGAAGACAAACGATCCAATCAAAAAATGGGCAAAGGACCTGGGCAGATGCTTTTCTAAGGAGGAGATACAGAGGACCCAGAGGCATTTGAAAGGATGCTCAGCAACACTAGCCATCAGAGAAATGCAGATCAAAACCACCATGAGGTACCACCTCACACCGGTCAGAGTGTCCATCATAAATAGATCCACAAACAACAGGTGCTGGCGAGGCTGTGGAGAAAAGGGAACCCTAGTCCACTGTTGGTGGGAATGCAGACTGGTGCAGCCACTATGGAAAGCAGTGTGGAATTTCCTCAGAAAGCTGAAAATGGAACTGCCTTTTGATCCAGCGATTCCCCTGCTGGGACTATACCCTGAGAACACCAAAACGCCAATACAAAAGAACCTATGCACCCCAATGTTCATAGCAGCACAATTTACAATAGCCAAGTGTTGGAAGCAACCTAAATGCCCATTAGTAGATGATTGGATTAATAAATTGTGGTACATATACAAAATGGAATACTACGCAGCAGAAAGAAAAAAAGAAGTACTAAACTTTGCGACAGCATGGATGGAACTGGAGAGCATCATGCTAAGCGAAATAAGCCAGGGGGCGAAAGACAAATACCATATGATCTCACCTATAAGCGGAACCTAACCAACAATGCAAAGATGCAAGGAAAATATGACCAGCAACACTGAAAGGAAAAGAAATCAACAGAGACAAGAGGGAAGAGGAGGGCAGGGAAAGGGAAGGGAAGGGGAAAGTCAAGGGACATATAGCAAGGACTCATGGACAAAACCAAAGGGGAAGAGCTGAGGGAGGGAAGGTGGGAGGGGGCAAGGGAAAGAGGTGGGGGGGAGGCAGAGACAAATGTATTTTAAAAGTAAATAAATTTTAAAAAAAAAGAAAGAAAAAAAAACATTTCCACCATCGTGCTTTCATTTCTACATTGGGAAGACAATGCCAACTTTTTTGGGACAGGTTTTAACCAAATTCCATATAGCTTGTCACAGGAAAAACAAGGGCAAAAAATTCCAAACCCGCTCATGTGAAACTTGGTAGGCAGGCAGATTTTAACTTAATTTGAGAAGAAAAATAGAACTGTTCTAATTATCTAACAATCAAATACTAAGAAAATTAGCAGAGTGTTCTAATAGCAAGTGTCAACATTGATGTTATATGCAAGGGACAGTGTTCATCACATATGGAAATGAATTGCCTACCCAACACAAAATATCATATTTAAATATTAGAGTCACCTGATGTCAATAGTTTGTTGGCCAGGCAGTACATCTAAATGAGTAATTAAAAATCATAAAAATATGTATATTATTTATTTATTGTTGATTGGTTTTTTAAAGAGGGAGTGGGGGAGGGAAGAGAGAGAGAAATAGAGAGACAGAGAGATTGATTTATTTTTCCACTTGTTTATGCAATTATTGGTTGACTCTTGTGTGTGAACTGACCAGGGAAAGAACTCACAAACTTGAAGTATGATGATAAAACTCTAAACAAAGGATCTTCCCAGCCAGGGAAAAAAATATATATATTTTTAATGAACTCATTTCCCCAGTGCAAAATGGCCTTTCCTGGTCATTGTAACTAAGTTCAAACTAGTGAGATATAACTGTATTATACTGGTACCAACTGCTCTGACTGAACCTAACCTGTGATGAGAAATCAGTCTGTCATTTATATCAAGCATCCTGGAAGTTGTACACCAATATTACTGAAAACAAAGCCTTGGGTGTGAAATACAAATATAAACACATTACCTGCTCACATTGGTCCATGCTGACTGGCTTGCCATCACTGCGCACACAGCTCAGAAGACGGGTCCTGACACCTTGCCCACATGTCGCATTTTCACTCAGCTGGCATGTGCTCCACTCTACAGGCACAGAATCACCAAAATGAGTTTCAAAATCATGGCCATGAGAGCAAAATACAACAAACCTCTGATTATCTGCATTGGTGGAGAAGAATAGTGCACACATAATCCTAAAACTGCTTCCAGCTGGCTTCAAAAGCATCATGCAAGTCCTTTAGAGAAAAACAATCAAATCGTTCACAATGAGTCACATTTCTAAGTTTGCTTTCTTGAGTAAAAAGCCAAGTATTTGTTAGAAACCATCTCACAGTTGGCTTGGAAGGAAAGAAAAGACACTAGGACTTCTGGCCAAGATGGGGGCATAGGTAGATACACTTTGCCTCCTCACAAAACCAAAAGAGGGCCAACAACAAATTTAAAAACAAAAAATAACCAGAACTGCCAGAAAATTAAACTGTATGGAAGTCCAACAACCAAGGAGTTAAAGAAAAAACATTCATCCAGACCAGTAGAAGGGGAAGAGATGGGCAGCCAGGGCAGAGATGAAGCACGACAAGGCAGCAGCTGGCGGACAGGGTGGTCTGATATTTGTGTGTGGATAAACTGGGAGGAACAGCTGGGGAGCAAGACAGACCATGCAATCCAGGGTTCCAGCATGGGAAAAAAAGCCTTAAGACCTCTGGAGGTAAAAACCCCCTGTGGGGGTTGCAACAGTGGGAGAAACCCTCAACCTCCCAGGAGAGTCCATTGGAGACAGCCACAGGGTCCTAGAATGTACATAAACCCACCCACCTGGGAATCAGCACCAGAAGCACCCAATTTTCTTCTGGGTAGTGGGGGAAGTGACTGAAAGCTGGCTAAGAGCTAAGCAAGCAGCATTGTTCCCTCTCAGACCTCTCCTCCGCATACAGTACCACAAAGCAGCAACCTGGATTGTCCCGCCTTGGTGAATACCTAAAGCTCTGCCTCATATAATGCAACAGGCACACTGAGACAAAGAAGTCTCAAATGAAACTTCTTTTCATTCATGGCCCAAATGAAAGAACAGGTCAAAGCTCCAAAAATAGAACTAAGCAATGAACAGATAGCTAATATATCAGATAACAGTTCAAAACACTGGTAACCTGGATGCTCACAGAAATGGTTGAGTATGGTCACAAAATGGAGGAAAAAGTGAAGGCTATGCAAAGTGAAATAAAGAAAAATATACAGGGAACCAACAGTAAAGGGAAGGAAACCAGGACTCAAATCAATGATTAGGAGTAGAAGGAAGAAATAAACATTTAACCAGAACAGAATGAAGAAACAAGAATTCAAAAAAATGAGAAGAGGCTTAGGAGCCTCTGGGACAACTTTAAACATTCCAACATGCGAATCATAGGGGTGCCAGAAGGAGAAGAGGAAGAGAAAGAAACTGAAAACTTATTTGAAAAAATAATGAGGAACTTCCCCAATCTGGTGAAGACTTCCAGGAGATCCAGTAAGCCCAGGGAGTCCCAAAGAAGTTGGACCCAAGGAAGCACACACCAAGGCACATCATAATTACATTACCCAAGATTAAATTAAGGAGAGAATCTTAAATGCAGCAAGAGAAAAAGAGACATTTACCTACAGATGATTTTCCATAAGACTATCAGCTGATTTCTCAAAAGAAATCTTGCAGGCAAGAAGGGGCTGGAAAGAAGTACTCAAAGTCATGAAAGGCAAGGACCTGCATCCAAGATGACTCTATCCAGCAAAGCTATCATTTAGAATGGAAGGGCGGAAAAAGTGCTTCCCAGATATAGTAAAGTTAAAAGAGTTCATCATCACCAAGCCCTTATTATATGAAATGTTAAAGGGACTTATCTAAGAGAAAGAAGGAGATCAAAAACTATGAACAGTAAAATAACAATAAACAGCTATCAACAACTGAACCTAGAATAAAAACACAAAAAAGTAAGCAAACAACTAGAACAGGAACAGAATCACAGAAAGGGAGATTGGAGTGGAGGAGGAGAATGGGGGAAAAGGCACAGGGAATAAGAAGCATAAATAGTAGGTACAGAATGGACAGTGGGAGGTTAAGAATAATATAGGAAAAGGAGAAGCCAAAGAACTTAAATGTATGACCCATGGACGTGAACTAAGGGTTGGGGGGATGCTGGAGGGAGGGGAGTGCAGGGCAGAGGGGGATAAAGGGGAGAAAAAAATGGGACAACTGTAATAGCATAATCAATGCCATATATATATGAAAGACACTAACCAGGAAAAGAAGTTTGATTGGCACTTTTTGAAAAATACGCAACAAGTATGAGATGTAATCTGGATGGCCACTTCTGTAATTAATGTGAAGTATTTAGATACCTTTTTGAACATGTAACATTTTCTTTGACAATGGCTTTTGTAAGGATTGGTACTATATATCATTCCTTATGATGCTCATTGCTTACCACTAATCCTTGGATCTTGCTGTATTGTCACCTAAATTGGTACAGGTACTGATAAAAATCTATAATGGATAATCATAACATTCTTGGTCACATGTTTTCCTGCAGCCTGAAGGTTTTTAAAAGAGATCAAATGCCTGCTGCTACCACCCTCTTAAATTGCTATCTTTTGAAAAGCACCAGTATGGGTTTTAGATTGATTTCCCTATTTTAGGGAAGTGACAATCAATAGTTTCAGTTCTCATGATATAAGCAAAACAGATAAAACGTGTTTATAAAAGTCAAAAAAAGAAAAGAAGTTTGGAATCATCTATTTTCTGGGGATAATTGAGAGAGAAAATAACCCAGAAATGAAGCTAGTTTTTGATGTAAACTTGAAGATGTTTTTAAGGAATAAATATAATCATCAAAGCAATTTGGTACATTTGGTACAGTGAAGCCAAGAGAGATACCCCAAAAGGAAAGAGTTCAATGTATTCAGAAGTATATGGACTGTCTCCAAAACTCCAATTTAAAAAAATTATTCTCTCATCAAAAAAAGTTTTATAGATTTGGATAGCTGCATTACAAAGTAGACAATGGAGAGTTAGACTAAAATCACCCATAATTAACCTCCTTCTTAAAAAAATATATTGGTGTGGATAAAAAGGAAGATCCTTGATTGTATGCAAAAGAATCTTTTAAAGGAAATTTTCCATATTTGGTAGATGATCTAAGAGTTTTAAAAAATATCAAACTCTTGGTATGATAAAATCAGTGTTTTAAAGACGTGTTCTTTCACTAAAGCAAATTTAATTGTAATTCTGAAAAATCACTGTGAAAACCAAGTATCTGAAACACCTTTAATTGAAGAAAGAGAACAAAAACATGAGATCATCTTTCACTTGTAAAGACAACCATACTGCTCCACAGAACTTACTAGAAGGTTTTCTACATGAGAAATCTCAGCAGTGCCACTGGGATTTCAGTGGGGAATTTGTTTCAGAAAACAGGATTGCTTTGCCTCTGCAGATGTGTGGCAGTTTGGTTGTCAGTAAATTCAATGCTGAGACTGAACATGGTTCTACATTTTGTAGCCTTTTGTATATCTTCTACTACAGGAAATGGTGGGTAGCAGGTCAATGTAACTAAACATTTTTTAGTATTAGACACTGAGCATTGTGATGCGCAGGAAAAATCTGAGCAGTAGCTTAAAAACAAGGCTGCTAGGATTCCCAGTGCCTCTCAAACATCCTCGTCCAGGCAGGTCTATCATTCATCCTTATTGAGATCCGTAGAGCAAGTACATCACAAGCTTGAGCTTCTTAAAATAATAGAGACCATTAAGTAGCTAAATTCTATGACAGAATGATTATATTCTCTCCTAACTGGTAAATTATCCCCTGATATTTGTATTGTTTCAGTTTATCATAGCTTAATTCAACTTTATTCGGAAGTGTTGCCAAATCTTTCTAAGCATCTTTGAATTCAGAGATGCCAGGTGCATTGCTGACTCTACATGCCAAGAATGGGCATTTCTTGCTCTAAAGGGACACTGGAAATGTCAAACCCTCAGCCTTTCGTGCAATACATTCACACATTCTATTGTTGAATAGAATGAAAACACATGTAAACATTCTCCCAATAGCCAATATTAAAGGGAAAAGGGCATGGCCGTGGATTTCTACTATACCTGTCAGATTGTACTGGAACTGGAAGCAATTTTCATTGAGGAGGCAAGGCCGCACCTGGGAGTCTTCAGCACACGTTGTCCTTGAGCTCAGCGAGGGTCTCAGCAGATGGCGGGTTCTTCTCTGCATTGTGTGGGGATCACATGACTATGAAAATCAAAGAGCAGGCAGAGTTAGGAAAGACCCAAAGTTAGCTGACGAATTATGATTATCTGTATACATGTAGAGAGACATGTCAAATAATTACAGGGAAGAGACTATTGAAACATTAAACATGGTATTTAGAACATAAAACCTTTATGTGATGCAATTAAAATAGTTTTTGGTGGTGTCATCTGACAACTCTTTCTTTTCTGCTTTATAGTAAAGTCTGCTTTTTAAATCTCCCATGTATAATGAGGTACATGGAGCCTATTTAATCAATTAAATGTACTCTGTACTCTCAAATAGTCTGCTCCTTAGCAAGAGATTAATGAACTTGTAACATTTAAATGAATGAACAAAGGAAGACACTGTCATCGTGCCCTCAGATAATCTAGCCCAATAGATAGAACCTCACAAAATATTTTAATAAGAATATCGGTTTTAAAATCCCGGAACTGACAGATACACATTGAATTATGAAATCAATACTGCCATTAGACCAGAACTTTCCTATTATTTGGGATGCTCTGTGAGACGATGTGCCACTTCATGCCATGGCTTTCTGAGCAAAATAAATGTATAAATGTGAACATAAAGAGATATCCTGCAAAGAGCACTTTTCCCATGGGTACATGTGTTCTCTCATAGCTTCAACACATGTACTGCCCTTGATCCAAGTAAACCCGCCTGCTGCATCTCCTCCAACTACTTTTCTCACAGTGGACCTCAAGCTTCCCTGACTGGAATAATCTCCTTTAACCTGTCCTATATCCTATCGTTGCCCTTTCTCCAACCACAAATGGTGCCTTCATCATTGACAGTCTTTCTTTTAATAACTGCAAATCCTTCTCTTCTTTCCTGAGCAACATTCCACCTATACTCAGTTATTAACTCCATGTGACCTGCTTCTAAACTATGTGTACACATATATGTTATACCTGCCTTTATAATATTATTATTCTTTATCACTCTGGCTTCTTCCTTTCTTTACAAATTCTTTGGATCATGGTTTCTACTTGCATTTCACTCCCTGAAATCTTGATATATATTTTACACAGTGGTTGTTCAATAAATAACATTAAATATGGTCACAACAACACAATTCCAGACTCAGAAGTTTAAAGAGGTATGGAGACACTTAAAGCATGGGAGAAATAAAAATCTCTGAATTAAAGCCACCAAGTCATTGCTTTCATATTTGGGATGTTTTATTTATTTTCATTCCTTTTACCTTTTCAGATATTGTAGCAAGAGGACAACCTGTTAACTGAATTCTCCTTGTCAATCACAATGATAACGTTCGATTGCATGGAACTATGCAGAGCAATGCCACCAACTTTTTCTATTTTAAGTGTCTGGAGCCATTGAAAGATATTTACTGCTCATGGGACTTCATAGGTGGATAATTTTTCAATACTTGTAAAGTAATTTTATATTTGAATTGTATTGAATGACCAAGAAGAGTCATTAAACCAGCTAATTATTCTTGGTTATTTGCAAATTAACCCCATGCTAAATGCTTAACCAATAATTTGTTATTAGTTCACTAATTAGTCTGCCTGAGAAAGAGTAAAAACTTAAATATTTGCCAATGAAGTTATCTTGGTAGATATTCCTGATTACTTCTTTTCTACCTTATAAAAAAATTAATGTCTGAACCAAATGAATATGTGTAAGGACCTGAGTACCAGCTTAGTCTAAGCCATCAAATAAAGCAAAAGAGAAAAAACAGACACACACACATACACACACATGCATGTACAAATAAAATTACTTGGTGACCTTGACCTTGAACAATTCACTTATATATTCCATACCTTATTTCTTTATCTAAACCTAGGTGAGAAAGGGGTATAATTTGATAAGATTTAAGGATTTCCTCATAATCTATCAGTCCCTAATTTCTAAGAATAGTGGATGTGGTTTTAAAATATCCTCTTGAAAAATAGTTTTCTTTTTTGTCATCAGACTTTCAACTTACTGTGCTTTTAAAAAATTTTCTTACAAATATTTCTAATTTTTAAAAATGATTTCAATTTTTACATTTAATCCCTTACTGTCTCCAGAATTTATTTTGATATAAATGGTCTACTTCTATTTTGTAAATAAGTTATTTTAACAAAAAAAAAATAAAATATCCTCTTGAACCTAACCTGTGATTCATAATCATGTAGATGTTGATAATCACGTTTTAGAAATTAACATGGAAAACCAACACAGCAGCTAACTCTCCCACTAACACTTTTTTTCATAGAAACAGGCAAAGGGCCGTGTGTCCTGGACGCCCTGGGTCTTGGCCATCACTACAAGGAATCTGGGTTGACCCAGGACCCGCTGGGGTGAGGTCTTTGCTCCCACCCGGCTGGCGGGGTGTGCAGATAGTCTCGAGCGTCAGAAGAGGTTATAAATCTATGTGGCTACAGGTCACTTAACTGGGGAAAAGGGTCAGCAAGGGACCACTCCCTGATGTGGCAGAACTTCTCTCAGCTCCCGCACCAGAGGTCACCCCAGCTGCTCACTACGTGGGATGCAACGGGTACCTAGGCTTATGGGGCAAATCCCAAACCCTGCGGCAAGGATGCCAGCTCCTTCCAAACCACCGGCTTCGGAGCTGCCAAGACGACGGTACGTGTCTGAACAGCAGTGCCCGGTGTCCCTGCGGGAGGATGCGGAGCTGCACTCTCCAGAGTCCTTTGCAGCGTGGCTGTCATCGCATTTGTTTTCTTCTGCCAGCATTTACATAGCATTTCTGCAAAGCGCTTTATAATCATTTCATTAGTCATTCATTAGCTTGATTGCACAACCTTTGATTCAGTTAGAAAATTTGATTTTATATTCCAGTTGCCACGACCACAAGTTTTAATTCAGAAAAACTTTTTTGTTTTTGCAAGAAAGTGGAAACACTTTTAATTTTGAGTCCCATCCCACCGCAGTGGGTGGCCCTGGAGTACAGCATGGAAAGCGATTGCTGAGGGCGACTCACAGCACTCCACGCTGTGATGCTGCAGGATCTACAGCTAATCGCAGGACAAGGATACAATACAGTAATTGTTTCCTTTGTGAAAGGGCTGAGTGCAGTTTTTCTCTTGGACCACGAATCTCCAAAATGTACATGGAACACCTTGAACCTAGGAGCCTGGAATGGAGTCTTGGTTTCTTACACCTTGCTGGTCACACAGGAATATTTCTTGCTATAATCCTGGCCTAATTGTAGAAGGCTTTTGGATGTCTCTTTGAGACCAGGCATACATCATCCATTACCAAAAAACAATGCTGTCAAACTGATACAAAGTTCCTGGAAACAATTAGGATCCATGGCTGCAAAGAAACTCTATTAATCAGTTTCCTGCCTTGGTCAGCGGGCCAGGCCTGCGCAGGTGTATCCCTTATTTCACAGCACAGCTGCAGCCAATGCCAGGAATGAAGCGTCCCAGCTCAGCTCACAGAGTGTATGTGACCAAGATGAAGACACCCTGAGCCTGGGGCTCCCCTGGGGGAACCCTGCCTTAGTATCTTATGCCGAGAATTAGTTCAGAGTTCAGGCAGAGAAGAAGGGATTTAGGTACCCAGTCCGTGAATGTGAGCACCATTAAATACAGTATTTCCTGAGCCTAAAAAAAAAAGAAAAGTGACTAAAATCTACAAACACAACACAACCGACCTAATCTTAGGCAATATTTTCACATTCCACATTAGAAAAATTGTCCTGGAATTGCTGACAAGTAATAGATGGGTTAGTGTGTCTCATATGGACATGGAGGTGGGGCTAAGAAAAACAGAATAGCAAAGGAAGCTTACATGTAGATGATTTCTTTATTGGACCAACACTCTTCAAATACAAACTTGGATCTCCTGTCTTCTAGAGTATTTAAATAAAGACATGTTGTAAACTTTATAAATAAGTAAGTGAGAAAACAATGAGTGGATTACTAACCCAAAGTCAACACTGGGCCAGTTCCATTATAAAAATCAATGTTATATAGCTCAAGTTAATTTGCTAGGAAAGGCGATAACTACTATGTTACCAGTTATAGCACTCTCCACTTACCTGTGATTTTTCTTTCTGTGGTTTCAGTTACCCAAAGCCAACCATGGTCCAAAAATATCCCATGGAAAATTCCAGAAGTAATTAATAAGGTTTAAAAATTGTTTGCTGTTGTGAGCAGTGTGGCGAAATCTCACGCCACCTTACTTGAGATGTGAAACATCTCTTTGTCCAGTGTATCCATACTGTATATGCTCCCCTATACCTGAGGGAATAGAATTATTTCTCTAATTCTCATAAATTTTTTATTAAATCTAGATGACAGTTCCCAGAATAATAGAACCTATCATTAAATTAATAAAGATATCAATAAATCAATTTTTTACTTACCCATATGAATAACTTATTTAACCCATATAAATAACTTAGATATTTTAAATCCAAATAAAATGCATAATTTGGTATTTTTCTCATTAACACTGAACTATTAACAATCATGGTTTCATAAAATCTGGCTTAATTACACGTACTTGTGAATTTAAGTCACTTTGCAAATTTCTTATCTGGAGATGAGCATGACTCCAAGGCCTGTCCTTGTCAGTTCCCATTACATATAGATGCCTTTATTCTGTTACAAGGTTTATCTGATAATGCTGAGATGGGTTTTCCTTCATTTAGTCAATTAGCCTTCCTGTCAGTAGCTCTGCTATTTCTCTCTGTATCTTTCATCAGGCAACAATGGATATATGCTATGAACTTGAGTTTTCTTATTTGGAAAAATGGGGTAAAAAGACTCACAAAATACCATTATAATGCTTTGTAATAAAAGTTTTAATGCAATTAAATTCTCATTCTCAAAGGTTGATAAAGGATGAGAAAACCTCTATGGGAGAAAAATCTGAGTCTGAAGAATTGTTAGTCATGCCTCTAATATTTAAACTTTTCTCAGAGATTCTAAGGGGATCATTGCAGAAGTTTTAAAAAAAGTCCTTTGTACATTACAGTGCAACAGGAGAGC